GTTGGTGCACGAGAAAACAACCTAGCAGAATAAAGAATAATTACTGTGTTCCATCATTTATTAACCATGCTAAAAAATCAAGATCTTAAAACACATTCACGTCAATCTGAGTAAACTTATTCCTAACCATGTGGACTAAAAGCCCCAATTGTGCACGCATGAAAGTATTGGAAAGTTATCATGGTAACTACTAACAAGTATGAAATACTCATATCCCCTGCCAATATGACATGTCTGGTTGCGTGCAAGGCATTAGCCCTCCAGAAACGAGCACCACTGCCATTTTCAGCCTAAGTCAAAGTCGTTGCTGATGGACATGATGGAAACTCAAAAAAAAATTTATTTTGAAATCCCAAACTATCAAAAGGCACCAGGTTACCACTATACCTATAAATATGCCAAGTTTGATGAAGAAATATTGTTTGGTTTTCAAGATCTGCTCTGGAAATGAGCACTACTGCCATTTTCAGTCTAAGTCAAAGTAGTTACTATGGAAACTCGAAAAATAAATGTAAACAAAATGCCAAACTATCAAAAGGCACTAGTTCACCACTAGACCTATCTATGTGCCAAATTTGGTTAAGATATCTCTCATGGTTTTTGAGTTGTGCTCCAGAAATGAAACATGGTGGACTAAGGGACAGAAAGACTGAAGGATAGAGGACAGCAGCCATTCCTATATCCCCCATCCACTTGGTGGCGGCGGATAATTGCACTACCTTCCACCCCTAAGGGTAATGGATAGAATTAGATCTGTTACTTGAATATGAATCTCATTTTGTGATGGATTAAAATGAAAGTGCCCTGGCACTGTAGCTCACCTGAATGATGGATTTGTTTGTTTGTTTGTTTGTTTGTTGTTTAATGCCGCAATCAGCAATATTCCTGCTATATGACAGCAGACTGTAAATAATCGAGTCTGGAAAAGACAATTCAGTGATTGACATCATGAGCATCCATCCACGCAGTTGGGATATGATGAAATGCATCGACCAAGTCAGCAAGCCTGACCACCCGATCCCGTTAGTCACCTCTCCCTACACACATGGGCTGCTGAAGACCTATTCTTCCCCGGATCTTCACGGGTACCCTGAATAAAGGAACCATGATGATCATGGTTACTGTATCAGGGGTTGATATAACTGCTGGCCTGTTGGCCTGTTGTCAGTTAAAATTACAAAGGCTTGCTAAACGTAAAGTAGATGGCCTGTTTTCACCCCTTCTCCACGTGTCTTTAATTGGACACTACTCATGAATCATGAAATTTTGATGTGAAAATATTTAGGACGGATGGATGGATGGATGGTTTGTCGTTTAACTTTTTCAACACCAGTCAACCAGCAGTGTTTACTGCTCTGACACCAAGTTCCCAGAGACTCTTGTGTGATAGATGAAGCCAACATTTATCGTAGAAAATATCTGCTTGTAAAATATCTTTGCTACTACATGTTATACACCATTTGAAAGGTCTGATCCTATGGTTTATAAATATGAAAGTTATGTTTATCACATTATTTAAATAATACATTTACAATTTTAATACGTTCGTTGTAAATAAAAAGTGTAAGCTAACACGTTGATAACTTCCAGATTAAGGATCAAGGACCAAATTGACGATTTTCGCCAAATAAAAGATTTAATAAAATTCACTTACCTATTTCTGATTTATTTTCATTGTTTATGTAATTGGAAAATCATTTTAAAAAGAATTATAAATAGTATCCGTCATCACCCATTTACCCCTGTTTTCGAGGCTTCGTATGGATAACAAGATCCTCGAATGACACTTCGCTAGAAAGCTTTTTCCTTCATTAACACGCTTGTAAAATCGCTGGGAGTTTTTTCATCGTTATAACATGCGATTTCATTGGATAAAAACTGGTTTCTAATGACGCCTTCTTGCTGAAATCTGCTACAAGGTTTGTGATTGGTCAAATTTGAGCATGTGACCTACGGCAGCCAATCAAATTACAGCTATGGTACTGCCTCGTATATATTATAAATTTCAAAAGTTGACGAAAGATTTTTTTTAAAGCGTGTTATTCTGAATGTGTTAAGCAGGAAATCACGATATATATTAAAAATAAGGAAATTCGTGAATGTATCGTGCTAGGTTACGAGATGTGACAAAGATTTTTCATGCATATATTTTTGCATTAAACATCGTGTCCAAGCCGAGAATTCAAGGCGACGAAAGCTGAGATGTCATTTGACTTACATTATACGCGATCCCACGAAAAGATGGAAATAAATAACTTAGATGTTAGTTTGACAACTTTTAGATATATATTTGTTGGGTTTATTCATTACTTTGTATAATATATGTAAAGATTTGCTTGAAATGTCTTTATTTTGCTCTTTGACATGTTTGATGTGGATCCGTTGTCAAAGTGTGTGTCCAAGAATTTTATTTTCAATAACATATAGTGAATAATTTTTTGATTTATCGATAAAAAATGATAAATTGAAATGCATATTTCAGACATTGTGAAATGTGACTGATTTAATAAAAGAATGATATGACAGGTAGGTTCACAAAAATATACACTAATTTGTCCGATTGTTACGATTCACTCGCGTATTCGGTGAATCAAACCGTATCCATTCATGAATTGAATTTGTTATTCGTGGCAAATAGAATATTTATGAATATGCAATCATGTGCATTTACATACCCTGTGCCTAAAAATATCCATGAGAACATATTATATGCAAAGATGTCTTAAAAAGTCAACATTCTCATAATATTTAATTTGACAGTATTGTGGTCACTGGTCATTGTCGAATTTGAGCAGATACTAGTACCTGGATAAGTGCAGTATATAAATGTATAATATATTAATGATTATAACAAACCATGTCAAATAATTTATGTTGTTGTTGTTTCACTGAATATAACAAATAATACACCAACTGCTGACTTGTTATTGTATTCCTGAATCAATATTCGTATCCTTTACCCTACATTCATGATACGAATCGTATTTGCCTCATAGTGTATTTGTTGCAGCCCTACTATTTTGACGTGACCAAGGCTTGGCTCGTAAACTGGCCTACGGTGTCTGGCAACTCAATGCTTCTTGGCAGGTACACCGGCCTACATTGTGGAAAGAGTTAACGCCACAATCAGCAATATTCAAGCTGTAATTAATCAAGTCTGGACCAGACAATCCAGTGATTGATATCATAAGCACCAATCCACACATTTGGGATCGATGACATGCATCAACCAAGTCAGTGAGTCTGACCACCCGATCCCGTTTGTCGCCTTTTACGACAAGCATAGTAGGAAAATATTTAGGTGGATGAGCTCTTGTGAATGGTTAACTCAGGAAAGATATAAGTCGATCATCTTGGTAGATTGCAAATCGGCCGCCATTTTGTAATTTTGTGTACAACAAAATCTTTATTTGCTCATAAGGCACCACAAAATGAGGCAAATGGAAGCCGAGATTTAATTTCAATCTGCAGTCTCCACCATTTAGTTGTCGGCCCGTCAGTTTGGAGATTAGGGCTATTAAGTCCTGCTGGCTACATACAAACCTGTTGTTAAACCTACCACTGCTGTTTGGCTATTGTCAATTTGTGATCAGATTTCATCAACCAGAATGATCAACATGATAATGATTCACAACTGAGGAAACCAATTAACCGGTCCAGTGAGAAAAACAAAAAACATTAAACACATCAATGGCAGATTCAAGTATGCATGTCTATAAATTGCTAATATTTCATCTCTTTTATGACTGAAAATTACACCAGCTGCTCTTAAACAGTTACTTATTTACAGCTGGTCACGTATTCAAATGCCATGAATGATAACCGAATAATGTTGAACATGTTGAAAGTTCACGTTTACAACATGACATACATTCTAAGTCTTGACTAAACCAATGATCAAACACTAGCATATCAAGGATTAAGTCATTGTAAACTAGAGCTTAGTATCTGGCTGGACAAAGCAAGACTGGCTCTGCAAGTACCTAACTCAGTTCATGCTGCATTGCTAAAAGTGCAAAGTGCTGAACTGAAAACAAAGTCAAAATACCAAACTCGGCAATACATGTGAAGTGTGAGTTGGGCTTGACGCCGCTTTGAACAGTATTCCAGCACGTCAGCTAAATGTGGGAGGAAAGCCAGAAACTCTGGTGCTCACAAACCTAGACACATAACTGGGGCTACCAGGATTCGAACCCACATTCATAAGTTTCTAGCGCCAAGGGATGCAAGTCTCCACAGCCATTTAAATTGCCCAGACAATTGGCCATCTGTGGCCCCTGTATGTAGTAGTACGATTACATGTTCAATTATAAACTTTTTCTGATAAAAATATCATTTATACTTATCCTGACTCATACTAACATTAGTGCAGTGTTCCCAATGAACAGATTCATCTCACCCAAACACACCCCTCTCACGAGCATGTGCTTCGGAAACACGTGATCATTGGGAACACTACGTTTTGGGAACAAGAAAAGATAAACAAGTTAGTATGAGTCAAAATAAGGCAAAATCATTATTTTTATTTTAAAAAATGGAAAATAGCCAACATACATTTGCAACCCCAAAATATATTTAATTACTTCAAAGAAGTTAAAGAACACACAAATGGCAGATTAACTATAGATATATGAAAGAATCAGGTGTTCTTTAACTTCTTTGAGTAGTATATTTTAGAGTGAGCCCTCTGATCCATATTTCAGTTACATCAGAGTGTCAGCTATTTGTGTGCGGAAAGCTCGAAGTGATGCAGGTCTTAGACGTTTACCACTTTAGTGAAACCCACAAGCACGGGTATGGTGATGAGTAATCTAGAAACATCACCAGGGCAGCTGTGGGATTTGCACCCAAGGCCACGGAACACAGCATACAGACCAGCTTACAGCTGTTGCGAGCTAAAGCTATAGTTGGGTGACAGTAGAACAAGCAATGGCAGAATGAAGTGCTTTACCACAAAGGGTTAGTAAGAAAAAACATGTTAGTAAAACCAGAGAGTATACCTTGAGTCTTCATATCTAGAAACATTAAACATTAAATACGGTAAGCTCGACAGGAAGGGGTATGGTTTATAATAATATGTTAATTTGATAAATTTGTACACTGTTATAGCTGTTAGTTTGTTGTTGATCACATTCAGCAATATTCCAGCTTTATCATAGGCCTGCAAATAATCAAATCTGGATAATCCAGTGATATAAGGGTAACGCTATTTTTCAGGGCACTATCATTTACAGAAGCCCAGGGTCTTCCATTAACTGTCCGACGAAGGAGGGCAGTTGAAAAGACCGAGGGCTTCTGCACATGATAATGCCCTGAAAAATAGCGTTACCGTTATTATAGCTAAAATGGATGGAATTTGTTATCAAATCAAAAGAAACAACAATATCTGGTTGAAATATTTACTGCAATAAACACGAATGTCACTGACCCACTTTTACAAATATGGAAACGTCACAGAACAAACCAGATGTCGTCACTATTTAACGTGACGTCACTATCCCTACCCTATGACGTCACCTAACAAGGGGCTTGATAATGGCCCGTCGTCAAGCAATATGGGGGCATTATCAAGTTACAGTGGCCTGCCGATTTCTGATAACGTGCGGGCAGTTTAATGATAATTCTATCCATTTTAGCTATAATTGAAATTGTCCAGTGTTTTGGGGGCACAATGGAAGCAATGAAACAAGTCACTGAGTCTGACCACATGACTCCATCAGCCACACCTCCCAAGAGTCAGTGAGTGAGTGAGTATGGTTTTGTGACACTTTTAGCACAATTCCAGCAATATCATGGCGGGGGACATCAGAAATGGTCTTCACACATTGTAACGGCCCTCTAAATACATTTTTTTGTTAGGGAGCCAAGTGGCTACTCAAATGAATATTTTAGGAGCCAAACCAAAGTTTGTAGGAGTCAACAGATATTGTCACCAATTATGTTTATGCCAAGCGGCGAGTAGTAGATAAATTTAGGTCTTCAATCACAGATTTAGGTCCCAAAAATGTTAGCTTACTTAGAAGGCTGCTGTATTTTGTAAAAATCATGCATTTTCCGAAGTCAGTATGGCAAATTAAACCATTTGAATACTTACTGGAGTCTTTTATCTGTTGCAAACCGAAATTGTTTCAGATTTGGTAAAAAACATAACTTTGCATTAAATCTTATTCAATGTCACAGGAACTTTTGTTGTTCAGTATATCTATCTTCAAACCTGCTCAGATTCTGGGTTAGAATTGGTCCTCCACTACCTACGCTGGTCGTAAGAGTCAACCAAAGGGATGGGTTGGTGGTCAGGCTTAGTGACTTGGCAGTGTTTCCGTCTTTTACTGGTAATTACCAGTCTTTTACTGGTAAAATTAGGCTTGGACAGGTATTTCATGTGACTGCCAGTCCCTATGGACCGGCAAAGAAAGCACCTTATAAATTTTTGTTTTTGAACAAAGTTACTTCAGCATGTTCAGAGATGAAATCATTGCATTGTCATGATGTTAAAAGATTTAAAACCAGGTAATTTTCATACTTTTTTTATTTGCTAAAAATTGGGACTAACAAATATTAGGGGGGACTGGTCATTTTTTGAGTTGCCAGTCCACCAGGAATGGCAGTTTCAAAAGTAAACGGGAACACTGCTTGGTTCATTGTGAGTCATCGCAGCCAGCCAACGTGGACTTCTGCTTACAATATGGATCACAATTCACATGCTAACTTGACCAAGAACATAATTTATCCAAGGGAAAAAAATAAAATTCCCCCATACACCTAATCATGTAAAAATAGTGTACCTAAACTAAAGTCACAAATGCATTATGCCTTGCACCATGTGCACTGTCCTTTCCTAACTTCACAACCACTTCAGGGTTTTATCAAGGTAGACCGGTCACAAGACGATATTAGGCCCGCAACAAATGTTCGTAAAAATTCCCATTTTGAATTTTAAATTCCCCTTTCCTCATATTTACGAAAATAAGGACATTAAAAAATTCCAATTTTGAACAATATGACAAGTTTTTCTCCTATTGCCTATGAAGGGCGCTTTGTTTGTAATCCTAAGTAAATCTCTGAAACCAGAACTTGATATTTGAATGGTAATTGTTCACATCATAAACTTGTTCAAGCTGTCATGTGTACAGTTCAACATTGTCACTCAAGTTAAGAATACATTGAGAAACTTATTTTTAATAGTTTTTACAACTGGGGCTGTTACAATAACACCTTCACTTTCATGCTGATGTCTTAAGTACAAACACTGCCTGCCAATCAGCCGAATCTATTTCTCTATCTTCGGAAACTTTCCAGAAGACCCTTCAGGGTTAGAAATAATTTTTTGTTATCACGAGCCTGAAAAATTGACCTGCTACACAGTTGTCATCAAGTGTTAGTCAATGTCACTAGTCCTGCCTGAAGTTTACTAGTCTTGGACTAGCATCTTTGTTGAGTTTGGAAACCTGTCCTCTGAAACAAGGATGAAGTCACTCACCTTTCCCAAAGTAGATGAATCCGATGACGATGATGATGGCGAGTGCCACCAGTTTGCAGGTGGTGATGACGACCTGCACCCGGGTCGCCCATTTGACATTGCGGATGTTGATGCCGATCAGCAGACCTGGAGAACAGAGAGTACATCAGAAAATCAATTATCAACTTCAAATTTAAATTTGTTTGTTTGTTGTTTAATGCCGCACTCAGCACTATTCCACCTATATGATGGGGGCCTGTAAGTAATCGAGTCTGGACCAGACAATCCAGTGATTGACATCATGAGCAGATCCACACAATTGGGAAACGATGACATGCATCAACCAATTCAGCAAGCCTGAAACCCGATCCAGTTAGTCGCCTCTTACGACAAGCGTAGTCGCCTCTTACAGCAAGCATAGGTTGCTGAAGACCTATTCTAACCTGAATCTTCACGGGTCTCAAATTTTACAAAGACATCACATACTTTAACCTTTAAGTAATCATGGTTCTGTCTGTTTGAATTCAGGATTCTTAAAAACAGGGGAACACCAGCGTGCGTGCGCGCGTGAGTGCATGCATGCATGCTTTTTCTTACAAATAATCCCTCTTTTGTCACAATAAATTCATCAGTTTTGGTCTATGAACAAAATTTGTTAATATATGCATATGTTAGAATAAAGTTCAATGATGAAGTACTGCACTGCAAAGACGTAAACATGGCTGATGGGTCTATGACTGTGATACTCAGTATTCACTTCACTCTCTACTAATTTAAAACTTCTGATGGTTCAGCATATAAAAAGGGATATTTAGTGTCGACATCTGCGTTTCTGTCAGAAAAAATTGCACAAACATGTCATTTGTAGGAATTTACAAGCAATCTTGTTGACATTGCGACATGTCTGTTGATACACAACATGGGCAGGAAAAATGCCCACATTATAATCTCTCCTATGTGCATGATGTTGACTTTATTACAAAACTGACAATATTGGATGGTAACATTTTCCAAATATTCAAAACATTATGATGATATTGTATTTTGAATAACGTCCTCTCATGCCACGTTTTGTCTCGCCTCACCAAATAATGACACATATATACATAACCCATGTCCATGGGCAAAGTTGGGGTCTGAATGTTATTTTCTAAATGGGAGTTGGGATGCTGGGACGTGTTTGGATGCTGATGTCATTTTAATTACCGATCCACACCTAACATTCCACTTTCCTAACATGCCTAAGGACACATTTACATCCCGACTCTTCATCTTGTTTCTTAATTATCAGAAGATGGTCGAGGCCCATGAAGATCCGGGGTAGAATAGGTCTTCAGCAACCCATGTTTGCTGTAAAAGGCGACCATGCAAGTCGTAAGAGGCAGCTAACGGGATCGGGTGCTCAGACATGCTGATTTGGTTTATGCATGTCATCGATCCCAATTGCGTGGATCGATGCTCATGGCATCAATCACTGGATTGTCTGGTACAGACTTGATTATTTACAGACCGCCGTCATATAGGTGGAATATTGCTGAGTGCAGCGTTAAACAACAAACAAACTGAATATGGTCCCAAGCATATCTAGCAGCAATACCTCACAACCCTCCTAGTGCTCCTGCTTCTGATACATGACAATGTTCATGACTGTATCTGAGCATTTCGGATGCAACATCTTGCTCCCTGGTCCTATCATTCAGCTGGTTGTGCACTGACAATATCAATGTGTGGACGCAGGTTTGGTATTTAACACTGGTAAATGTGTTTACAATCGATGACATGCATCAACCAAGTCAGCAAGCCTAGCCACGCTGACCACTGCATCAGCGTTTGAAATAAGCCCCTGCCCATATGTCCCTGGCAGGTATATCTCGTGTCGGGAGGAAATTTAAAATTTGTATTGATCCTTATGGCCTGCAGTAAATTTACATGTCGATTTATAAATCATGTTAATAAGCTGCAGTTCTTTAAACGAGGGCCTGAGGAGTTTGGTCAGGGCCTGTAGCTTCCAATGGCAGCCTGGCAAATTATTTTATTTTCACAGTACTTGATCCATTAAACTGCCTGTTTCCACCAGCAAAGGTGGCTGGGGACCTGCTCTTGACAACAGGAATCCCCATGCATGAAGAGAAATGGTGGACAGCATGCCAGACATGACTGTTTCAAGGGCCGGAGGACATTCAACACATGTGCAACATGGATAATAAACTGTCAGACTATACTCGTTGTTTTAAGGATTGACTGTGTATTTTTTGGGGTTCATTGAGGTATGAATCGAAAAACCGATGTGCAAACTTCAATACCTCAATGAACCGAAAAAAATACAGTCAATGCTTATCATTAAATCTGACAACGTAAAACATGTTTTATCTACAATAGTTTAATCACAAACAGTTGTTTATATCAAAAGAGACAAAAATTACAAGACTGATAAACATTCAAGGTGTAGGAATACATACTGTGGCGGGACATGAATCAGGTGATCGTTTAATTTATGCACATAACTTGACATGCTTACACAGTCAGTAGCCAATCAACGGAGAGTAGGATTAAAACAATGTTCATTGGACCTGTCAATTAAGGCAAGAGGCGAAAAGAACAGTGAGACTGTAACGAACCGGAAGAAATATGTCCGGGAGAAGGCGGCTGTTTCAAATGACATGGTCAGGTACTGCCAGATTCAAACATTACTTCCCTGATTACGGCAAAACACAGTTGGAAAATTGCTAGTTAGAAATGAAACCCGAAGACATGAAAGTTGAACCGAGGCGAGTAGGAAAAAAACAGGCGAGCAAGCCTGCACTTTTGCTGTTTCACTCAATCTCTGAAAGTACCTAAATGTCCTGTGTATGACGATACACGTGAGCAGAAAGGGAATTCCCTCGACTGTAATACTGGGATTCCCCGACATTCCGCAGTAATAAAAAAAGTGCGCCTCGGTGGGCGTGGCTTAATTTTTTACATTCATTGGGAAATGATTGCAATAACACGTGACCAATTCAGCTAATCAGAATGCAGGAATTTCAGTGAACACAACGAAAATTTAATTATATGAATATAGTAAGACGAGTTCTATGGATGAACAACTTCTTTATTACAATTGGTGCCACATTTCGGTGTAGATCCTAACACCTTTATCAAGCAAGTGATGATAAAGGTGTTAGGATCTACACCGAAACGTCGCACCAATTGTAATAAAGAAGTTGTTCATCCATAGAACTCGTCTTACTTTATCACTCCAACTTCTAAATGCCACTCAAAGAAGGTATATGAATATACATGAAAAACAAAGTTTTATAATAACCAAACATACCATATTCGACGTAATAAGCGCCCCGCTCTAATAAGCGCCCACGATGATATTTGCTAATATATTGGCTAGTGAAGTATCCCAATTATCACCCCTTGCGATTGATCAATGTACACAAGGCTTATTTATTCGTGTATAATACGCTCTTGTGTGTTATATGCACCCATAATTATGGGCAATTAAATTCTGGATAAATATATCTGTCGTGTATAATACACACAGACTTTTATTTTGTATCATTTCAGGCTGTCAGCATAACCACGAAATTTACAATCTTTCAATTCTGTTGTTACAAAATTTTATTCTAATAAGAGCCTCCTATTTCAAATTTTGAGAGCGCCCTGGGCGCTTATTACATCGAATACAGTATGTCACATTCAATACAAGTTCAAGCATAAGAAAATCCTTGCTTCCATGTTCATGCTGGATTATACATGAAATCATATGGATAAATTCACTGAATGATATCAATGGTAACATGAGTAATATTTATAAATAAATAGCAAATGGTATTATCATGAATATAGACATGATAGGTATCAATAATCATATTTACTGCTGTAGTGCTATAGTCATGATAGTGCATGTTCCAGTTAACCTGCTTGGCATCCATCAAATGTTATCAGGACTTGTTCGCATTCACCAATGTCCAGCTATGCATGTGCAGTTCTGTTTGTTTGTTTGTTGTTTAACGCTGCACTCAGCAATATTCCAGCTATTTGACTGCGGTCTGTAAATAATCGACTCTGGACCAGACAATCCAGTGATTGACATCATGAGCATCAATCCATGCAATTGGGATATGATAACATGCATCAACCAAGTCAGCGAAACTGACCACCCGGTCCCGTTAGTCACCTCTTACGACAAGCACAAACCTTTACAGCAAGCATGGGTTTAACAAACAGATGATGAATGCCCTAATTAAACAGAGAATATTGCTCAAATTCACACATGGCACCCCGCTCTAATAAGCGCCCACGGCGATATTTGCTAATATACTGGCCAGGGAACAATCGTAATTGGCACCCCTTCCGATTGATCAATGTACATAAGACTTATTTATTTGTGCATAATCTGTTTGTTATATCATAATATGCACCCTTAATTATGGGCAATTAAATTCTGGAAAAATATATCTGTCGTATATAAACATTTCAGGCTGTCAGCATAATCCACAAAATTTACAATCTTTCAACTCTGTTGTTTTTCACCAAAATAATATTCTAATTTTGAGAGCGCCCTGGGCTTATTATGTTGAATACAGTAGTTTCAATTCCTTGACCTTGACTGGCAACAGCAGACAGTGGAGCAGAAGTAATATTCTATCTTTAATAAATTGTGACCTAAACATTTTGAGTCGACCATTTCCATTTATCTGAACGACATGTTTAAGGAGACAGAGAGCCACCCCCAGCACTTGGCATTGTCGGAAATAACCAGGTAAGTAGATCACATGTGATTAGATAAGTCTGCTGCAATGTAGGCACGTAACGCGTTATCTCTGCCAACGATGTACAAGGCTGTAAAGGTCAGCAACAACACTATCAGTTCTCCTGACTTATCGGGTAACACCACAAACTGGCACATGACCATCACTCCCCATGCTGATCTTGCAGTTTGGTGAAAGTGAGCGAGTGTGGTTTTTGCCGTTTTCAGCAAAATTCCAGCAATATTATTTGGGGGGGGGGGGGGGTTACACCAGAAATGGCGTTCTTCACAGATCGTACTCATGCAGGAATCAAACTCGGATCATTGATGTGACGGGCAAGTCTTTAACCAGTGAGCTACACCACCCCCACTGTGGTTTGGAGATAAATCTTATACCCTCTAATAA